GCCCGGGCTTCCTCATCCTTCAAGCCATGGAACTGGATAGAGGATGTGATAAGCTGAATCCAGCATGGCTTGATCTCGAAGTTGTTTGCAGGAATGAGCGGATAGAGGATGACCGGGCGGATGTCAGCAATCCGTGGAGTATAGTAGTACTCCAAGGTGGGACCCGGTGGTGGTGGATGATGATGGCCAGCTCCCTGGGGGTTTGGGTCGTTCCCCAGGATTTGGTTCTGAGGAGGTGAGTTTTGATCGCCTTCCATCTCGTACTCGTCCTCGGAGTCGCTGCTCAATTGGCCGTCTCTGTGCTCCACCGTAGCCAGTCTAGCTCGCTGTTGTTTCCGAAGTTGTTTGCAGGTCCGCTCAATCTCAGGATTCAACGGCAGTAAACCTCCCGACTGGCTACGGGTCATGCACTATCTGCACACAATCAAGCAATGCAAACCCGTGAAGGCACAAGTGGGAAAAACAAAAACTCAATGCAAAAATGAAAATGCTAAAGTAACAGAAATCACTTTTCTTCAACAACCTAGCCGTCCCCGGCAACGGCGCCAAAAACTTGACTCACTCCTACTGTCACTCTAGAAATTGGCCAAGTGTAACCACTTCCTAAAGCGTAGTATAGCGGGTTTGGGTTTTAATGTCAACCCGGGTCCTAGATGTGATGACTACTCAGTGAATTCGTATTATCTAGCAATGAAACTTTAGTGAAGTTCTAAACTAACAAGCAAGCAAAGTAACTAAAACGGTTGTTTTCAGGTTAAGAGAGGTCACCCGGATATGGTTCCCCCTAGTCTGCAGTTAAGCCGGATTGTAATTACCAAGTTCAATTTCTATGATAGTTATACTGCGGAAGGTTCTCAAACAGCCTGAAGTCTCGACTAAAGGTCTTCAGACCCTCTCAATCTGAGTCTCTAGCGGGCGACTAACCTCCACCGGAGTAAACAGATTGAGGCCCTATGAACAAAACCTCCACTACCGAAGTGAATTCGGTACATAATAGTGAATTGGCTCCTCGACTAAAGTCACCAATTCACTACCTTCAATCAAGGATACTCTATTAACCTAGGCAGATATTCTCATTCTAGTTTAAAGCAGAAACAACAGGAATTTGATCAGGATTCATGTCATTCAATCATTCAAACCTCAATCGAATATAATCAATTCATAGAAACAGTACTTGGGTTCATACAATCAAACCTAACATACAGAACTAGGGTTTCCCACACCTAGATGAATGGGAGAACTACTCCATGGAGAAAGAAGCAAAAGCAGAATCAGACGCGGAAATCATACTGTGAAGATGGATTTCTGCTCCTGGACGTTGAATCGGCACTTCTCCAACTCCAATGGTGTTGAAGATCAAGCTAGGGCACTTGGAGGCTCTTGTTCGTCGCTTTCTCTCTCTAGGAATCGCTCTGTCTCTCTAAAACTCGAATCCCCCTCTGTTTGGCTCGGAATCCGCTTAAAAACCAGAATTCCACGACTCGCACGGCCAGGCCGCACGGCCGTGCATATCACCACTTTGGCCGTGCGGCGCATCAATTAATCGACCTTCAGCCATCTCGCACGGCCAGGGTTGCACGTTGCACGGCCGTGCGAGTTTCAGGGGTTGCCCGTGCGTGGCCTCGGCAAAAAGCGCACGGCCTGGGTTGCATGTTGCACGGCCGTGCCAATTCATGGTCTGCCCGTGCGTGCTCTCGCAGAATTCCGCACGGCCATCTTGCTCACATGCACGGCCGTGCGACTCCCTGGTCTGGCCGTGCAGCCTCCTTGAAACCTCGCCATTCGTCCGATCTTCGTCCAACCGACCCCAGACTCGCTCCCAAGCCTTCATTCACGTACTAGGACCTGAAATATCACAAACAAGCACAACCTAGCGTGAAATCGGCCTAAAACACGAGAATCAATACCTCAAACGGTGTAAGAACAGGGGCAAAAACATGTGTAAATAACGGTCTATCAATCAACATCTCAAACGGCTCAAGAATAGGGGTAAAAATGTGTGCAATCAATGGTCTATCACTTTGCTTCTTTGATGTTTGTGAATGGTGATGTTCATGTGGTACTTGTGTTTGATGTCTTTCTAGTTGGTCCTCGCTAATTTGATGAAGTCGTTTGATTATTTGTAATTTTATGTGTTGGAATATCGATTTGGATTATGAGTTCACGATAGATGTTGTACAGTTGTAGTGATGTTTTTTCTTATAATTATTATTATTTTATGTTAAATATATATAAATGTAGTTAAATTGTTTTCAATTATTTGTATGGTAATATCTTATTATTAAAAGGACACCATACAATTTTCAAAATAAAAAAAGAAAGGGGATGTATGGCCACTTAATAGATAATTAGATGGAAGGGTAAACTCGTTATATTTTAATATTAGAAGGGTGTATTTGGAAGGAAAAAAATTAGTAGAGGGCTATATTTATTAATTTATCAAACAAATCCAGTGTTAGAAATTAGAATCTTAGAGCATCTCCATCGGTGAAAACTTTGCAATTACAAAGTGGTAAATTGCACCCTTCAATTGCACCAATGGGAGTACCCATTGCAAATATGCAAGATACCATTTGATGCAATGGTCAATAAAAGCCACTCTGAAAATTAGTAAGTATGTTTTTTTTACTAATTTAAAGCACAATTGTGGCTGTGTGTCGCCGTATACAAATCACTTTGGGTTCTTTTTTTATGTTTTTTGGAGGGAGTGAAAATGAATATATATAGTTAAATCATAGTTTGTAAAATACGGCACGGGTAAGTTATGTATTAAATACATATATATATAGAGAATTTAGTACAGGAGCCATCAATAAACGGGTAAAAATAAAACGGTTTGATAATAATATGTATACAAAAAATTTAAACGGATAAACTACATACGACCAGTGTAGACGTGTATCGAACAAAGTATTTACTAACTATGACTGAAACTATATTTTATTTTTACAAAAATTTAAATCTACTCAATTTATATGATGTTCATTTCCATTGTACCTAGGTACATTAAATGACATAAATGTGTTGGATCGGTCCCCAGTATTCCATGAGGTGTTAGAAGGAAAAACACCCACAATTTCCAATTCTCTTAATGAACGAAATTATAATTTGGGATATTAACTCACTGATGGTATTTATCCCAATTGGGCCACATTCGTCAAGTCATTCTCATTAACCCAGGGACCGAAGCACAAATTGTTCGCTGAGAAGCAAGAGGCAGCTAGAAAAGACGTTGAGACAACATTTGGGATGCTCCAAGCACGATTTGCAATAATTCATGGTCCATCACGCATGTGGTGGAAAGATATCATCGGAGAAATAATAAGAGCATGCATAATTATGCACAACATGATAGTGGAAAATGAGCGTCATTCATCCGACATTTTGATTATACAAATGATGATGTCAACTTTAGTGTCTCTATGCCTGCAGGTTCAAATAATCCTCATAAAGTATGAAAAGTATCTTCGCAATCATGCAAGAATTCGTAATCGCTCTACAAATAATCAATTGTAATCAGATTTGATAGAAGAGATATTGGCTCGGTTTGGAGATGAGGAAAATGATGTTTACTTTACATTTATGTCTATATATTGTTCCATTTAAAATTTTACATATAAGTTGTTGACTTTATTTATGTGTCCTATTTGAATATTGTGCTAGTTTTAGCATTTTATTTTGATTTGGGGAATAATTATTGAGTACTAGATTCTTTCTGGTCCATTCTCAAGGCTAAAATGTCTTCATAAATTAGAAATAAAAATTTTATACATTAATTGTATAGATTTTGTTTAATTAAATTAAATTATTATTTTATTTACTTGCAATATGGTTAAAAAGGTATCTATAAAAAATTTTATTTATTAAAAAAAAATAGGCCCCATACGCAATTGCAAATTAATTGCGACAATGCAGGTACAATCAATGTAGTTAAAAACGAGTTTCTACGTAGAAATGTTTTGATGATCTAGAAGCGTAAAATCGTAAATTTTTAAGCTTTAAAGCGAGTTTTGAACTACATAAGTTATAAATATGGAGATTTTGTGTACAAGCGTTTTAGTGACTTAGAAGCGTAAAATCGTAAGTTTTTAAGTTTTAAAGCGTGATTGTGACTGCATTTTATATATATAAAATGAAATGAACGGTAAATTGAGCTGAATTGCAAAAATGGTGTTATATAAAAAAAACGCAATTGCACCGGATCTATCTAACTGTGCGTTTTGCTTTTCTTGTCCTTGAAGCCAAAAATTTGGGGTAATTAGCATAAATGGTCACAAACCTTTGCGCTTAGTACAAAACAGTCACAAATCTTTAAATTGTAACCATTTGATAACAAAACTTTTTTACTTAGAACAAAACGGTCACAAATTAAACAGTGTGACCATTTCATACCAGTTCAAACTTTTGTTACCGAGTCGTTGCAAATTAGACTTTTGGTGACCGTTTTGTACAAATTAAGTTCAAAAGTTTGAACGCTCAATCACCGTTACAATTCACTCTAGTTGTATGGTGGTTTTGTTAATGTATGTGAACGATATTATGTTGTTTAGGATGACAATGAGAGAATTCAATGGCTCACAAACGGGTTCCAGACTGCTTTTTAGTTGAAAAAACTATGTCTACTTTCTCTTGGTATCGAAATTGAAAGGTCAACTGAGGGCATTCTGATTCGGCAAAGCAAATATGTCGATGAACACATGACCTGACATCTTATATGTCGTTCAAGTGGTTAGTGTCATATACTTAACGAACAAACTGCCCGACCTCAAAACTTGACAAACATTTAATTTGTAACGATTCGGTAACAAACCTTTGCACTTAAAACAAAACGGTCATAAATTTAATAGCGGTGACCATTTTATACAATTTCAAAGTTTTGTTACCGTATTGTTACAAATTAAAGGTTTGTGACCATTTTGTACTAAGTGAAAAGGTTTGTTACCATTTATACTAATTACCCCATAAATTTGTTTGATGATTTTATTTTATCCCCCGAACCGCTTTGTGAAAAGGATTTCCTACCGAGACCCCAAAGAAACCCCGACCACCGAGTAACCGGCAAAACCTGTAAACCTCGAGTAAAACTTCAACGGAGCCCCGACCAAATCCCCCGGCGACTAAGATGGAGATAGATCCCCCGGAACAAGCTCAGCTCCCGCAGATCAAAGACAAAGACCTCTTCAAATCCGCCGAGACCGGCGATTGTTCAATACTCCACTCGCTCTCGCCCCTGCAACTCTCCAAAGCTCTATCGCTTCGAAACGATGACGGCCGCTCCCTGCTCCATGTAGCCTCCTCGTCCGGCCACACTAAGGTACTCCGATTCGTCAATCGAACTCCATTGCTTCTCCCTTCTCATCCCCCACCCGGCCACCCCTGTTGAGCTCTTATTTTCGATTTTAACCTGAAGAAAATTTTCAGGTGGTGAAGCTTTTGTCCGAAGTTGAAGCATCCAGCGGTGTGGTGAACATCAAGGACGATGAAGGTTGGGCGCCGATACACTCCGCCGCTAGCATTGGGAGTGTGCCGATTGTGGAGATTTTGCTGAGCAAAGGTAAGACTTACTCTGCCAAATTAGAACAAGTAGCTCACCGCTGTTTGATTTGCGTGGTTATGTAGAGATAGGAGTGACTTGGATACTTGTTCAGTGATTTGTGAACCGCTGTTCAATTCAAGCATGTTTACACTGCCCATGTGAAGTGAAGTTGCGAACGGTTTGTTCGAGTTAGTTTCTTAGGTCTCAGCCTTAATCGACTTTGGTTGATATCTTGAATTCTACTTGATTATGGAGATGGTTTGTGAGTAGGCGCGGATGTCAACTTGAAAAATGATGGGGGACGCACAGCTCTTCACTATGCTGCGAGCAAGGGTTGGTTGGAGATTGCTGAACTTTTGATTTCACATGGTGCAAAGATCAACTCCAAGGACAAGGCTTGTAACTCTGACTTGATTGCTGTTCCTGTGAATATATCTGTTCTCAAGCTTCATATGTTTCAACAGCTATGTTGATTTGCAACTGCTACATTATTCAGGTAGGATGTACACCATTGCATAGAGCAGCGAGTACAGGGAGGGCCGAGTTGTGTGAACTCTTAGTCGAGGAAGGAGCAGAGGTAGATGCTGTTGACGGAGTTGGTCAAACCCCTCTTATGAACGCAGTGATTTGTGAGAACAAAGAGGTGAGCTTTAGATTGTGTGCTCAAGATGCCAGCTTGTATCTTTCCCTTGCTTCATTGTGATGAAGTTGTTTGTCGATCTCTGGTGTTTCATTGACAGGTGGCTTTTCTACTCATAAGACATGGAGCAGATGTGGATGTGGAGGACAAAGAAGGATACACAGTACTTGGCCGAGCTTCTCGTGATTTTAGGCCGACCCTCATCGATGCTGCCAAAGTCATGCTTGAAGGATGATTCTTTGGCCATTGGAGTAACTTAGATTTGGAACTGAGGTCAGTTTTCTTGGTTACAGTGTTCCAAGGACATGTTTTTGATGGATGTTTCTCAGTTAGGTTTCTTGAGCATTAGTAGTTAACTTTTTTAAGATCCTGGTGAGGTCAGCGCCAATGTTCGTGCTGCTTGTTTTGGGGTTGTGATTAACATTTTTTTCCCATTCTACTTGTGACATCACTTCCCCCCTTAAAAGATGGCAGTTAGACATGTCACTGACTCTTTGGTACTTGATGAATATAATTGGGTCCTTTTTCATATTTTACATGCTATATGTTCAACCCACTGAATGGAGTGAAATAGCCGAACACTCAATAGACTTCATCTCATCACCTAGAATAAGATGGGCTGTGCTTGGTGTTCATTTCTTGCCTCTTCATTAAATTTGAAATTGAAGTGGTAGCTAATTACTAACTAGGAAGTGGATATTGTTGGGACGTACGCAATATAAGTGCTGCTCCCGGTGTAGTTCAGGTAGTAGTACGAGCAAGCTGGTAGAAGTTGATAGGAGCGGCGTATCGGAGGTTGTTGCTGAAACAAGCTGCGGTAAGGATCCTGGAGCCCTCCTGAGTGAGCTGGTACTGGTTCCAATACAGATACTGCTCGCGGTTGCCGCACAGGGTTGAAGTTGGCCGGCAGGGCATGGTTCCGTTCCCACAGCACGCATCTCTCACCTCCCTTTCCCTTATACCTGCACGCATTCACGGTATATATATAATCAGTGATGAAACCACGTAACTGATTAACTAGTTAGAAGTAGGTTAGTTATTGCGTGCGTACCACATGCCGGGAAACTCCCAGGATTTGCGTTGACATCAGCAAGAAGTTGGGAGCGTTACAGATGGAGTACTGGAAATCGGGATACAACAGACGCAGCCTTCTCAGCGCTGTGGCGAGGCTCTCCACGAAGTCGAGCGTCAACGAAGTTCCTCTCTGGTTGCACCCGCCACCACCGGTTGCGTTCTCGGCACGGGAAGATGGGTTGCATCCAATCAGCAGAGGTGCCACAATGGCAAACTTCCTTGCTTCATATGCATATAGACTCTGCATATATAAGCCAACCACTACCACAGTTTGGATTTACAGAGCAGTCCCAACCAAGCGTTGAATTAGAATGTAGGTAGTAATGAATAAGGTAGCGTTTGTTACGCACCCGTAGCAGACCAACATATTGGGCTGTCACAGAGGCGGTAAAGAAGCTGTCGGAGATTGGTGGCCGATCCCGTTGGTCGGCGATGTCAGAGCTTCCGGTGGACACTATAAAGAGGGAGCGGCGTATCAAACTGGCGGCGGCTTGTCGGCCCTGTAAATCAATCAAGTCCTCGTACACCTCCCCGAAGAACTTCACCTGCGTGCGTAATGGCAGTACCTGTAGTATATATGTTGATCATGATCGACCAAATTAATGAGATGGGTACGTCAACATATAAATTGTTAGCCAATTACTAACTTCGCCAAACCGCGGGCGGCCGGTTGTGTCAAAAATTCCGGAGCTTGCCGAAGCCAAAGTGCCGCCCTCGGTCAGTATAGCCCGTTTGTATTCGTCGGAGCTTCGGATAAGGCAGATGATCGGCCGAGGGCTTTCGGTGCGATTCAGCCTCCTCGCTGGTAATATAACATAGGGAAATTCACCAAGTAATAAAAATGCAACTGACAGAAAAATAACAAGACAGAGTGCGCACCAACATAGTCAGGCAAAATCAAGCCATTGCTAGCCCTGCCGGTGGGCGTAGAATTACGGTAATCGATCCCGTTGAAAGGCACATTATACTTCGCCGTGGTGTTCAAACAATTGTTGTTCCCATTATCAGCTGAGGTGCCGCCAAGTACGAAGATAAGCGGGACATCAGAACTACTACTACTAGCAGGCGTCAAGAAAAAAAAATAAAAAACAAGGGAGTTGCTAAAGGTCGCCCTTAAAATTGCTAAAGGTCGCCCTAAAAAGAATAAAAGTTACACTTTTAACCCCCCATAGCTTCTTTACCTTCCCTTCCTCAAACAAACATCACTTGGACTAAAAAAACACTCTCTAAGGAGAGAAAAATCTATCATCGTCATTTTGAAGCCGATATCGTTGATAGGACGTCTGAATCATGAGTAGCGACTCCGACGAGGTAAGAACATGAACCGAAAAAAAAAACACAGAAAATGGGAACCGCGGGTGATTTGCGGTCCGACCATGGTCCAACCGCAAGTGACCTGCGGTTGGACCATGGCCGGACCGCAAATCACTTGCGGTTGAGCCATTGGTGGACCGCAATTGACCTGCGGTTGGACCATGGTTGGACCGCAAAACACCTGCGGTTCAGCCATGGTCCAACCGCAGGTCAATTGCGGTCCACCAATGGCTCAACCGCAGGTGATTTGCGGTCCGACCATGGTCTAACCGCAGGTCACTTGCGGTTGGGAATTTTTTGGGTTTTTTTTTCGTTGAATAATTTTCTATTTTTTATATGATTTATGATTGTTCCATGAAATAATTTGTTGGGTTTTGATTTATATAATTTATTAGATTTATTTGCATAATTATTTTTGGAATTGAAGGATTTAGCATTAGAAATTAAGATTAGATTTTTGGAATTGAAGGATTTAGCATTAGAAATTAAGATTAGATTTGGCCTTAAATTAAGATTAGATTTAATTTGGTGTTAATCTAGAAAATTAAGATTAGATTTTGCATTACAAATTAAGATTAAATTTATTGCATAAATAATAGATTCGCATATGAAGTTATGATGATTATTAAATTTAATACTGATAACATTGCAGGATATTGGAAGTTACAATCCGGATGGCCATGATTACACCTCGGATTTCATTGATGGCGTGAAATACACTACGGAGTTGCAAGCATATGAAGCAGCCATTAAGATTGCAAAGGGTTTTGGGTTTTATTTGGTGAGGGCATCGAACAAAAAAAATACGAATGAAGGTACTTGGCGACATTACTTACATTGCACTCATGGTAGGAAGAAGAAGTCGAAGGAACCTGATCCGAGTAAGGAAACGAGGCCTCTTACATCTACTGAAAAGTTGGGGTGCGAGTTTCAGATCAAGCTTGAGCGGTCAGGTGATGGATATTGGTTGATCCTAGGGGTGGCAAATACAAAGAATCCTGGTGCTAATTTGGGTTTCCACAATCATCAGTTGGAGCTATTTCCGGAGGGATCAAAGGGAAGGAATGTTTTGACTACAGAGGACAAGCAATACATCAGAGAGCTGAGATCAGCCGGCGTCCCACCAAGGAATATCCACAAGGCAGTGAATGGCAGAAAAGGTGCAAATGGAACACACAACAGAAAGCAGATTTATAACGAGTGTCACAAGATAAGGAAAGAAGAGCTTGGTCAGATGACAGCCTTACAGTATACTTTCCGCATCGCGCAGGAGAAGGGTTACTATGTGCAGTATATGGACGATCGTAACGTGCTTACACACTTGTTCCTAGCCCACCCCGAGTCAATATTGATGTTGCGAGCTTGGCACCATGTGATCGTGATAGATGCAACATACAAGACCAATAAGTATGATATGCCTTGGGTTGAGATTGTCGGCATGACACCAGTGGGATTGAACTTTGTCATTGCATCTGCAATAGTGTACGACGAGACGAAGGAGTCGTACCAGTGGCTTCTGACGCATTTGCAACATCTTCTTGGCCCCATTGTTCCAGATGTGTTTGTCAGTGACAAGGCAGGAGGATTGGTTGAGACCGTGGGGGTAATGTTTCCATCATCGACTCATATATTATGTCTTTGGCATATGGATAGGAATGTGAGAGCAAAGTGTCTAACGGAGGTGCGAAGGACGACTCATTGTGGTATAGATGCAGCCAAACCGACAGTGGATCATATCATGGCGTCTTGGCAACGTGCTGTATATGCATTGACAGTGGAAGACATGGATACTGCCTTAGAGAATTTCAGACGTAGTTGGGGAGTACAGTACCGACGTCTTTGGGGGTATATGACAGCTGAGTGATTACCAGTTAGACACATGTGGGCTAAATGTTATACCAATCAACTGCGTCATTTGGGTAACACAAGCTAGGGTTGAAGCTGCCCATTCCTCCTTCAAGAAGTGGCTTCAATCATCTACTGGCGCAGTCGACACAGTTAGTAATCTAATAAATCTTCATTGATACACACATAAGTTTTAGTAGTCTCCTAATTGTTCTTCATTGTTTGTAGGTATACAAGAAGAACGATGATTACATTGAGGCTCAACACCTTCAAATCAGGAAGCTGCTAGAGGATTCCCGACAAAAGAAGCTGCTCCGAGCGGATGGAAAACCATTTCGAGAGTTGAATACGAAAGTCACTCTAGAAGCTCTGAGGTTGATGTTGTTCGAGGTAGCAGTGGAAGGGGAACCTTGTACATGTACGTTTCTTCCTACCTATGGTCTCCCATGTAGATGTTCCATTCAGTTAGCACGACGTGAAAATCGGGATTTCGCCTTGTATGATGTGTTGCCATTCTGGACCGTTATCAACTATCGTGAACCTCCTACTCGGCCGGAGTGGGATGACCATAGTGATTACCACCGTGGTGTGTTCCAAGGTCTAGTACAGGAGGTTCTTGATACAGGTAGATTAACTTTTTCTTTTAGTTGTGTTCAATTGTCCTCAATATGGTGTACAACTAATCTATTTTTTTTAAATGAGATAGGTGGTGCCCCGAATGTGAATGCACAAACCAACTTCGAGGATGAGACGGAGCCGATCCATAATGATACAGGTTAGAAATTATATTCCTAATTTCGAGTAAACATATAGTGTAACTCTTTGTATTAATTTATTCTATTATGTTCTTCATCTAGATGGTGCACCGAATGGGAATGCACAAACCAACTTCGAGAATGGGACGGAGCCGGTGATCCTTAATGATACAGGTTAGAAATTATATTCCTAATTTCGGGTAAACATATTGTATAACTCATTGTATTAATTTATTGTGTTATGCTCTTTGGCTAGATGGTGCCCCGTGGAGGGTTGCTCGGATTCCCAATACTAGTTGGAAGAATTACCCATGGCTACATTGTTTGGAATCCTACGTGCAACGACTAGTTCGTGGTTGGTTCAACCCTATTCCAGATGGACACTGTGGATTTCGAGCTATATCACAAGCAGCTACTGGGGACCAAAGGAATTGGCCACAAATGAGACGCGCTGTTCTAGAGGAGCTTGAATCCCGTCCTGAGCTTTATAGAGACTACTATGATGGAATAGCAAATGGAATAGAAAATGGCATTCGACGTTGCAGGTGGGCATCAACAAGTGGCTGTGGACCTTTCAACTGGATGGATAATGCGGAACTCTTCGTCTTCGCCACCTTGCATTCATGGGCCATCGTTGTATACAGTCAAGGCGGTCGTTATACCGTGCTACCTGTGACGGCCCCACCAGGAGTAACAAGACCACGTGGGATCTTATCACTACATTTTACGGGGGATCATTGGGTGCGACTTGACTTTCGACATGGTCAAGTGCCCATGCCTCCAATTAATGGCCTTTGGCCTATTTATCATGACCCTAGTGTCAATGGGTGGGATCAATTCTTCTTACATGAGCGTGCGCTTTATGATAGATTGAACCCACGGGGATGAATTGTATAACTCTCTATTGTATAACTCTCTATTTACGAATTGTATAACTCTCTATTGTTGAAACATTTAGTAATCTACCATGTTGATTAACTATTTTAGCAATGCATTGAATGTAACTAAAGTAAAAAAACACACAATAGTCTCAGTTCAACTACAAACCATGACAAATAAAACACACAATAGTCTCAGTTCAACTACAAACGATGACAAATAAAACACAATCGTCTCAGTTCAACTACAAACGATGACAAATAAAACACACAATCGTCTCAGTTCAACTACAAACGATGACAAATAAAACACACAATCGTCTACTGAGGCGGCTGCCCTACCAACTGGTCGTACAACTCGAAAACCCCAGCTACCATATCATAGAGCTTACCACCGTCCTCCTCCCACTTACTCCGGTCCCTCGTCAGCAACACGGGACCTAAACGATCCACAATCTGCTCTCTCAACTGTAAAAATAGAAAACAATGTTAGAATAAATAACAAATGTCCTTTATATTTGAAAAAACAAAAGAAAGTCATAACTAACCTGATGAACTAGTAGTGGTCGAGGCTGAGGCTCCCCATCAGTGGGGTGGGTGATCCGTGGGTGCGATCTAGTCAGAAACCAGTCAACGTACTCCTCCACAATCTCCGATGGGTGCTCGCACGGCCGAGAAGCAAAATCCAACTCTAGACGACGAGCTGCCACGTTATCCCACAACTGATTCACCCACGGATCCCAAAAGACTATGTAACTGCTGCCGGAAGCCGGACTGTACTGGTCATGTGGTACCGTCATAGCAGCGGGGATAATCTGTCGGTATCCAAACTGGCGCAGACAACGTGAAGGATCGTATCCCTCAGCAATGTCAGAAAAGCGAATGGGGCCAGTATACAAGGAGCGGGGTATATCTGTGTGGCCATCTCGTCCGTACGGAGTCCAGGTCACATCATCAGCTGAAAGCTCATCCAACAACTGTCGATAACGTACTAACCTCTGTTTAGCCTCATCCCCACCTGGCAAACGGGGAGAAATCCACGAGGAAGCACGAGGTGCATCCGGAGACTGTGGCAGTTGGCTCGGACGGAAAAGAGGAAAGTACTCATATATCCAAGCCTGAAGCAGGGTCAAACAACCACAAAGACCCTTACTACCCGCTCGTGTGGCCACTCCCAACTGTCTGTAGAGATAGGCTAGTGCACCAGCTCCCCA